AATTATTCATGTATTAGTTTCCAAATATTTCTTTCTTGATTGCTGTATGTTCCAGTTTAGTCACAGGTCATTGAAGTTTTAGTGAAGACTGCTCTTATTTCAAATAAACAAATTTTGGATAGTTACAAAGAATGTAAAAGCTTTATTTCAAACATGTTGCCAAAAAGAGAACTCTAGAGGCCAATTACAAGATCCTTTCTTCATAAGGTTATCTACAAAAGGGGCACCTGGGTGGCTCAGTCGTTAAGCAACTGCCTTCAGCTCAGGTCATGGTTGCAGGGTCCTGGGATCAAGCCCCACATCAGACTCCCTGCGCGGCGGGAGGCCTGCTTCTCCCTCTCCCACTCCCCCTGCTTGTGTTCCCTCTCTCGCTGTCTCTCTCTGTCAAATGAATAAATAAAATCTTAAAAAAAAGGATATCTACAAAAAACTTTAGATAATGACTTAGATTAGAAATAAAGAAAACATGTTTGAATAAAAAGACATGTAGTTGACATTACCTGTATTTCTATATCAGTAAATTCCCCCAATCTGTTTCATCCTATTAATTTTTTTTTAAGATTTATTTATTAGAGAGAGAGAGAGAGAAAGGATCGCACAGTTGCGGGGGGTGGGTGTCAAGAGGGAAAGTCCTAAGTAGACTCCGTGCTGAGTGTGGAGCCTGACGCAGGGCTTGATCTCATGACCCAAGATCATGACCTGAGCCAAACCAAGAGTCGGGCATTTAACTGACTGTGCCACATAGGCACCCCTCATCCCATTAAATTTATCAGAAAGTTGCCTAGGCATTTTATTAAGAATGCAAAATTCTCCAGCAAAAAAGATTGTGAATATTATGCAACATAGTGTGTCCCAGATCAGATTTGCAACAATTTTTTGTTTGCAACCCTCTAAACTGAGATTTGCAAAATCACAGGAATCATTAAAGAATTACTGACTTTTAAGCTGTGATTAAAATTCACTCAATGTGAACACACCCCCATCCCCTAATGAATAGCCCTGGAACACTACAAATCCTGACACTCTAGTTAATAGTTACAGATACAAAATCCGTATAGTAGGGACTGTATTGTCAGTTTTATAACTCTATTCAAATATCGCTGAGGAACCCTAAGACTTTCTTAACATTTTTAATAATTACACCTCTAGATATGTTGGACTCACATATTTTATGATTATTTGGGAATATGGTATATGTTGCCCATTTAAGAAAAATCCAATTTCAAATTCCAGGAAATACAGGCTTCACTTGAATAGATGCAAATACATATTTCTATCTGTATATGAGTTTTTGTGTCAAAATATTTCTTTAATATTCTAATTTAGATATTACATTGGTCTTCCGATTCAGTGTTGTAACATTCTACTTGATTATATTTAGAGGTCAGTTTGTGTTTCTAGAATGGCACAGAAAATTGGGGAAAGGGAATGATCTTTGCCATTCCATTATGCTGATTACTGAGACATCATTGCTGACCTGTGAGTAATGGAAGATGAGTAGCTCCACCTCTCTCTCTCTCTATATATATATATATTTGTGTGTGTGTGTATATATATATATGTGTGTTTATGTACATATGCAAATAGAAGCTTATTTATTAATGTAAAAGAGTGATCCTTTGAAAATTCTCCCTATATACATATATATGGAAATTGGCCACAAAAAAATAGAAATAGTTAAAATCAGGTTTCTTTTATTATTTTCACTCTCAAAGTTGACCCAATGTACCATTTGAAATTTTTTCCCTTAAGTACACGAGATTCTAATAAAAGTATCTCTCAAATGATAAAATTTGGATCATAGTATGAAATAATATTAAATTCAACAGTGCCTTTATTAACTCATGATTTTCTGATCATCCTTAATAAAATAAAAAAACAAACCTATATGCCATTGTATTACCTAATGTAGGTCATTTCAGATGTCATTTAATAGTGACTTTTTTTTTTTTAAGAGAGCTAGGAGTCTTTTTTTTTTTGAAGCTTTTATTTATTTATTTATTTGAGACAGAGAGGGAGAGAGAAACAGCATGAGAGGGGAGAGCGTCAGAGGGAGAAGCAGACTTCCTGCCGAGCTGGAAGCCCGATGTGGGACTCGATCCCAGGATCCCAGGATCATGACCTGAGCCAAAGGCAGTCACTTAACCAACTGAGCCACCCAGGCACCCAATAGTGACGTTTTTAAAAAATACTTATTCACCATTTTTGTACCTCTTTTAAGTTCCATTTTAAGCTATTAGACTAAATCATAGCTAAAATACACAACTACTTTTCATAGTTCAACCATCTTTCTAACAATCTTCCCAACAATTTCCCTTTAATTTAAACTAATTAGAAAGTAAAAATAGAGGAGCAGTTTAATATTTATAAATATTTAAATGTTAAAATATTGATATACCTGACTTTCTAATTATTTAGAAATAAAAGGAGCCAGATATATGCAATTATAATAAATTTGGGAAGATTAATCATAGTTTTATGGAGCTTTCCTGCTGTAGTTGAATGGAACATCATTAAAATATCTATCATGTTAAGTATTTTCTTCAGCACTAAAAATAAATGAGTTAGCAAAACATGGAAAGACCTAGAGGAATCTTAAATGTATATTACTAAGGGAAAGAAACCAATCTGAAAATGCTGTATACTGTATGGTTCTATCTGTATGATATTTCAAAAAAGTGTGGAAACCATGGAAACATAAACAGAAAATTCCAAAATAAAAACTAGAAGGTACATGTTTTAATTTGGCTAATATAATCTTAGGACAGGTAAGAGGAAATGTTTGGAAATATAATTCAGAAATTATATGGATGAAAGATCTATTGGAGAACATGACTGACAATCTGTAGACTTTTCATTTTGCTCTGAAGTCTATGGGAAATCACTTGAAGATTTGAGGCAAGGAATAATATGGTAGATCTTGGCTTCCAGAATATGGATTTACTATATTTTACCTGAATGCATGAGATTACTATTTTATGATAGTGCATTGATAATGAGAAGATAAAAAGACATTTGATTGAAGGAGTTATTTTAGCCTGATATTTCAATGCAGTGGTATCAATGAATTACACAATTTTCTTTTTGTTAGCACCCCAACTGTAGTGATTTCTTTTCTGGATTTAGAACATTAAGCTAGAAGCTAAGCACAATCATTTCCATTGTTCAGGAATCTCAGTCTGTCTCCTTTTGCTTTTCAACCTATAATGATTTGATAGTCAGCCTTACTTCTCCCCTGAGACCATACTCCTATAAACATCAACAATCTCTTTCGTACTCAATTCAGGGAAACCCTCTAGATGGTCACTTGCACTTTTCCTTTCCTGGAGGAAAGGAAAAACAATTCCTCCTTACATAGTAATTACTCAGAATTTTTTTGTGAACTTTGATTTATGTGGATGATAAATGTTCACATTCCTTTTTCCCCAAATTTGGCTGTCTTCTATTCTCATTTTTTATGTCATTGTGCTGTGTGATCTTACTTTCTTTGATGGTTTCAATTATAAGGAACATTTGACAACATGCAAATGCTCAATATGAACACTACAGATCCCACACCTCTATTTCCATGGCATTTGTGGACAATTTAGATTTCCCACTGACCCCGAAACACTGCTCTAAAACTTTTTATTCTTCTACTATTGCTTTTCTATGTGAATCATAGTCACACCATTCACTTACTAAGTAATAAACATGCTTTTCCTATATTAGTAAAGCAGCTTCCTTTGTTGGTAACCAATTTAACTGGATTCCCACTCTCCTGTCAGATATAAATCTGACAATGTTACTTCTCTGATTATCTCTTTAGTACTTTTGCCATAATTTAGCTGAAGTCCTGTAAGACTCACTTCAATAGTAATATTTATGGTATGTAATAATTGCAATGGCAGGTTGATGTAGGCTATGATGCTGAATTAAATAGTACCCCCAAAACAAACAACAAACAAACAGTGGTTGAAAAATTAGAAGTATTTCATTTGGCTCTCTTCTAGTCCTTTTTTTCAGGGAACGTGGTCCTTCATCATTCTGTTTAAATATTTCTCAAAGGGTTTCCCTTATCAGCCTAATTCAAACGAGTCTCCAAGAGATGTTCCTACTCCAGGTTGTGAAAAATGCAGCAAAGGAGTTCTAGGGCCAACAACCGTGTTTAAGGAAATCGCCTGAAATTGCTCATCATGCCTCTCGCATCCCATTGTCCCCAAACCCCAAAGTAGTGTCCAACTTACAGCTAAATGGAATGAAAGCAAGGAAATAGAGCTGTAAATGGGAAGTCTAGCTAACAACTGGGAAGTTCTCCGTCTGTAAGGAAAAGGTATTTTGGGAGACAGTCTCTACTAAATGCTCAACATCAGTTCATCCTTATTTTCCTGAGTTTGTGTTTCAGCCATGGTGATTCATATTAATTTCCCCTAATTATCTTGACCTTTTTGATTCCTCCTGTCAGTAATGCTGTTCTCTCCCTCAGAACGATCCTGTTTACTCTCAGCTTCTGTTACTTGTACCTAGGAAATACTAAGTCATAGCATTTCAGAAGCAAACACTACGGATGTTTTAATTTATGATTTGCTTATATTTATTGATTACTTTATTAAAAACTTTCTTGTTTGACATTTTCCCTTTCAATAACTGTAGTATTTTTAGTAATCAATACTTTTACAAATTATTATCAGAATGAATGTGTATGAATCACTTTCATTTTTTCCACAAAGCCAATGAGAATGTTAGTCTGTATTTTTTAGTTTTATATAGGGCTGTAAAGTTTTACTTATATTCCTTGACAATCTCTGTCCCAGTTGTTCCATTATCTTCTGGAAAGCACAATTTGAAGATTAGATTTCTATTTTCTGTCTTTCATAAGTCTTGCAATATTTATCCTTTTGTCTCTATCACTGCCATTTGATTTTGTCAGATTTTCCTTTCAATTTTTCATAATCAGTTTATGAAGTTTTCTTCTTGAAATATAGTAAGATTTAAAGTTTTTTTTTTTTCCTCCCACTGGCTGCTCTGAAAAGCCATCTTTGCATTGTTCCCGTGTCCGGCTCCCCGTTCGCCGCAACCACCTCCGCCGCGCGCCTCCTCCGCCACCGCGGACTCAGGCAGCTTTCTCGCCAGAGTCCTCGAACTCTTGCTTTCTTTTTAATCCGCTGCATCGGATCACCGGCGTGCCCCATCATGTCAGACGCGGCCGTGGACACCAGCGCCGAGATGACCACCAAGGACTTAAAGGAGAAGAAGGAAGTTGTGGAGGAGGCCGAGAATGGAAGAGACGCGCCTGCTAATGGGAACGCTGAGAATGAGGAAAATGGAGAGCAGGAGGCCGACCACGAGGTAGATGAAGAAGAGGAAGGGGGCGGGGGAGGAAGAGGAGGAGGTGGAGGAAGGCGATGGTGAGGAAGAGGACGGAGACGAAGACGAGGAGGCCGAGGCAGCTACGGGCAAACGGGCAGCTGAAGACGATGAGGATGACGATGTCGACACCAAGAAGCAGAAGACCGATGAGGATGACTAGACAGCAAAAAAGGAAAAGTTAAACTTAACCAAAAAAAAAAGGCCACCGTGACCTATTCACCCTCCACTTCCCGTCTCTGAATCTAAACGTGGTCACCTTCGAGTAGAGAGTCCCGCCCGCCTGCCCAACGCGGGCAGCGCCACCCGCAGATGACACACGCTCTTGGCCACCCAGCCAAAACCACAACGTGAATTTGCAACAGGGGAGGAAAAAAGAACCAAAACTTCCAAGGCCCTGCTTTTTTTCTTAAAAGTACTTTAAAAAGGAAAATTTGTTTGTATTTTTTATTTACATTTTATATTTTTGTACATATTGTTAGGGGTCAGCCATTTTTAATGATCTCGGATGACCAAACCAGCCTTTGGAGCGTTCTCTGTTCTACTTCTGACTTTACTTGTGGTGTGACCATGTTCATTATAATCCCAAAGGAGAAAAAAAACCTTGTAAAAAAAACAAAAACAACAACAACAAAACAATCTTATTCCGAGCATTCCAGTAACTTTTTTTGTGTATGTACTTAGCTGTACTGTAAGTAGTTGGTTTGTATGAGATGGTTAAAAAGGCCAAAGATAAAAGGTTTCTTTTTTCCCTTTTTTGTCTATGAAGTTGCTGTTTATTTTTTTTGGCCTGTTTGATGTATGTGTGAAACAATGTTGTCCAACAATAAACCGGAATTTTATTTTGCTGAGTTGTTCTAAAAAAAAATAATAATAAAAAAAATAAAAAAAATAAAGTTTTTTTTTTTCTGAAAAATTTGCCTTCTTAGAGTTCTAGTAAAATATTTCCAGAGTTATGCTCTTACTTTGATAATTCAAAATAACATTTGTTTTTTTCTTTTGGTCAGCAAGATTTTGTTGCACAGGCCACAATCAGAATTCCTTCCTCTACTTAAATTTAGTTGAAGCAAGGTTTGTGCCACCCCAGTTTTTGCCAGTAGATGGGTGTGGGGTTACCATAGGAGTGTCTTTCTATCAACTTGGTGTTCAAATTGCCTTCTTAAATATAAGGGGAATTAACAGTATGATGTCCACAAATTGCACCTCAACACTTAGTGTCTAGTAAACATTGGCTGTTATAGCTTTCCTTTACACCTATCTATCCTCCCACAGTGCACATTCTGGCAACAAGAAGAAATAGATTGTCTAAAATATTAAAATTCAGAGTCTTCACTTTTATACAATCCCCTTCTATTTCCTAGACTTAAACACAATCTTGTGTGTGTGTGTGTGTTTAATATCCCTTCCTGTGCACAAAATGGTAATATCTGCTCTTACCGTCCTCCAAGCTACTCCTCCAGACACGTGTGTGCACATACGCTTATTTTCAATCTGTTACTTTCATACACATGTGTATGCACTTACATCCATATAGATTTCCCCTGCGTGTCACAGTTTCTCCCTGGGTATTTGAGAAAGCATTCACAAATCAGAACAAGTATTATTAAATGCATACTATGTGTTAACCACTATTGAAGGTGATTTTAGTACAACAATGAAGGTTTTCATCAAAGAGCGTCATCTAATGTATTTTGAATTTTAGAGGTCTGATATAGAAAATAAACATAGCAAAGAAAATATAAAGTATGTTAAAAGGTAATACACATCACAGAAACTATAGACTAGGGTATGAGAACTCTGAGGCTTGGTAATTTTAAGGAGGTTGGTCTAATATACCTTGAAAAAGCCTAACCACAAAATGGAAGGATTTGAGAGAGGTACACATGCAGATATCTTCTTTCCAGATGGAACAAAAGCCAATGCTAAGACTTGGTGTACATAAGAAACAGCAAGAAGTTCAGTAGGGCTCAGCGAACTGAAGTGAATAGAGGAAGGAGAATAGAAGAGATGATATGAGAGAGGAAATGGGAGAATAAAATGCCTAGAGCCTTCTAGGTACTATAAAGCCTTTGACATGGTTTTTGAATTCAGAGCTTTGTGCAGTGGAGAGGTAAGGTCTGTTTTGTGGGTTCTGGGGATCCCTCTTGTACTGAGAATAAACACCAAAGGACAAGAATGACAGGAATGGAAATATTCAGAAGGCCACTGCAGTAATCCACCACAGAGGTTTGATAAAACCTGAGTGAAAGAGGTAAATGTTGGTGGAGGTCTTAATACGATGTTGAAGGTAGATGTAATACGATTTCCTAAAATATTGAATGAGATATTATCAGTGAAGAAGGAGAATGAAGAAGGCCTCCAAGATTTTGATACCAAATGACTAGAAGTTCAAAGGAGCTTTTGTTAGCTGAAACGGGGGACGTTGTGGGCAGAAACTCTTACGGAGGAAACATCAGGAGGACACACGGGAGCATACTGAACTCAAAATCTTTATAAGACAGTCGTGGTAGGTAAATAGCTGGATATGTGAATATGGAGTTCGTGAGTGTCTTGGCTCAAATTACTATAACAAAATAGCACAGACTAGGAAGCTTATACAACAGAAATTCATTTCTTACCATTCTGGAGGCTAGAAGTCCAAGTTCTCGATGAAGGCCCTCTTCCTGTCTTGTAGACCGCTGCTTTTTTGTCATGTGGACACATGGCGGAGAGAGAGATTTCTCTGTTTCTGCTTGTAGTCTGATCAGAGGACTTCACCCTCATAACCTCATTACCTCCCAAATGCCCTATTTCCTAATGCCATCACACTCCAAATGTCAGAGCTTCACCATTTTACTTTTGGGGGGGATCTATTTCTTTCCTTAATAATGAACAAAATATTTGAAGTTTGTGGTAGATAATTCCTATTTTATGAACCAGATCTCCTTGTATTTATGGCGTTGGATAATACCCCCCCCTTTCTGAATGTGGGATGGTTTTGTGATTCATTTGTAACCAATCCATTGTGGCCACAGTGATGGTGCATGACTTTCAAGCCTAGAGGAGAAGTCGTATAGCTTCCACTTAGATTTTTTAGCAATTGCTCTGGAGGAAGCCAGTTGCCATTTAAGAAGTTTGGCTAACTTGAGACTGTTCTGTCCTGTGTAATGTTGTCACACGGAGAGAAGGGGGTATCTGCACGGTCCCCAGTTGTTCCAGCCATATCAGCCCAGACGTCAGACATGTGAGTGGAAAAGACATTTTGCATGGAAAACTCAATGAAGCCTTCAGGTGATGTCAGCCAGTCCTGTTGACAGCTAACTGCATCTGCATGAAAGATCTCAAATGACAATTTAGCTGAGTCCAGTCAGCTAGTCTGAGCTGAGAGATATTAATACATTTTTTACTACAACATTTTGAAGTGATTTGTTATATCCTAAAGTCATCGGCGTACAGATAATACATAAATCCACATGGTGTGGTGCATTTTCCAAGAAAATGAATACAGGAAGAGACAATAAGTGAGCAAGGTACAGAACCCCAAGTAATTTATTTGTAAGTGATGGAAGGAGACAATTGGTAATAAATTAGGAATCCAGGCTTAAAAAAATATTGAATTATTGTTTGGGGATTGAAAAAATTGTAGTCTTGAAAAGAATGGCAGAAGACTTTATTTTGTTGGTTTAAGGGAAAATAAGAAAAATCATTTAAAGGAAAAATAAAAAAAATAGTTTATAGACAAAGGATAAAACTGAAGAGTTGTTAATGAGGGTTTTATTACCATAGTTTTAATCAGACTTCAGGGAGCAAACAGGAATGCTGGAATATTCAGAGATCAACAATGGTAAAGTGCTATTAGTACCTCATGGCTGAAGGAGCTAAGGGAGGAAAGTGTGTATTGTAACTTTAAGGCCAGAGTTAAGTGAAATCATCGAAGAGTCACCAGAAAAATCAGTACCAGTATGTAGAGAAGAAGCAGGAGAAAAATACTCAAATTCTCTCTCCTCCTACCCTCTGATATCTCCTTTTAGCCTTTGTCCATTGCAAAGTAGCCGGCCGGATGTTGTTAGTAGGGGACCGGCTAACAGATGGCGAGCAGGCCATGGGAGGTTGGAGCATGGAGTGAAGCAAAAAAATTAATAAAGGAAGTAAGACATGAGGATCAATGACAACAAACAAGATTCATACACATTTCAAGGAGAATAATTTATGCTGACTCTATATTACATATAACTTGCTTTCAAAGCTCTGTTTTTAATGTCTATCCTACAAGTGTCGTGAGATACAATTTTCAAATACCATCGTTCAGCATTCTTTTCCCTATTTTCTTACAATGAACATCAGTCATAAGAGTATGTGTTGCCGCTTTGACAATTAAAAATGATACGACAGAATGCAAATATAGTTACTGTTCAGTTTTCTTTAATTCCAAAATAGGAAAGTGCCTAAGGGGAGCAGGAAATTGTGCTTTTGCTATAATAATATATTAGAATAGAAGGCAAGAAATAACTCTACCTAGGGAATCTGGAATTTGGGTTATGGGCCAAGTAGAAGGGGAGAAGGAGAAGAAATATAGATCAGTTACTCTAGGGAGGTGTTTTTATGACTGTATACATGTGTTGAGGATGTTGCCAACACAATGTTGCCTTTCATATAAATGCAGCACATCAGCTGAATAGGGGAGGCATGTTTACTGCGATTTTCCATTAATAGATTTAAATCATGGTCTGGACTGCTCAGCAGAAACATGACAAGTGCCCAAGAATTTGGTGAGCCTTATTGAATGGTTTTAATGGACCCCAACTTTTTTATTGTACATGCTGATTCATAAACACTCAGCCAAACACAGGGGCGCCTGAGTGGCTCAGTTGTTAAGCATCTGCCTTTGGCTCAGGTCATGATCCCGGGGTCCTGGGATCGAGTCCCGCATCGGGCTCCCTGCTCCGCGGGAAGCCTGCTTCTCCCTCTCCCACTCCCCCTGCTTGTGTTCCCTCTCTCGCTATGTCTCTCTCTGTCAAATAAATAAATAAAATATTAAAAAAAAAAACAAAACACTCAGGCAAACACAGAGCAGGGATCTTCACAATGATGTCAAATTCCATCCCAGCTAGTTAACCCTATGTGCTTGACTCTCATGCATAAATTGGGTTTCTCTTGGGTTTTGTTTTGTTTTTTAATAGCAGAGAAACAGAGTAGTAGTTTAAAAGGCTGTGTATGCAACTTAAAAGAATGATTCCTGAGTTGGAATTAACTCAGGATTTGTACCCCCAAATAAAAAGAAGTATTTACTTGACTTTTAAGAAAGAAAAATTTCTTTTCTACATACACACTTTAAAGAAATTGTAAGGAATTGGGAAAATCTAAGTGAACAAAAATGAGATTAATGAGAACAAAAGTATTTTGTGCCATATATTTTGTAGCTTATTTTAAATTCTGAACTGATTGTGTATCTTCATAGTTTACACAAGCCAAAGATTTTTAAAAATAGGCTTGTTTTAAAAGGACTACCATTATAGGCAAGTTTCATTGACTTTATGAATTCTAAAATGTAAAATATAATGATACACAGCTCCTTTAATGGTTTCCTAAACTTCACAGAGTTAAGAACATTATAAACATTAAATCACTCTGCTTGAGCTCAGGCCTTTACTA